ACGTATATATATTCTGTTCATTATATTTGATTTATGCACTATATATTTAGTTTCCTAATGTGTGTTATTTAGCTATTTTGGTTGACACTATTTTTTCTTTTCACTAGAGGGAGTCAAACACACATTTATTATATATAGTGGTCACTTTGATTTATAATTACACTATATGGAGATACATGATTGTATTCATGTGATACAAGCGCTTCACTAATTTTTTTATTTTATTTTGCACTTATTGGTATCAGCTAAGTGACAGCAGCTGTATTTTGTCAATTATTCCCATGAGGATCCCTTATTATTTTATATATATATATTGGCTACATCTTTTTCTGTAAATATTTTTATTGCACCCTTTTGACCTTTTAGTAATAAATCTTTCTTTCTAAAAGTGTTGAACTGTTTCTAAAGCTCTTTAATGCAAATTACGAATTCCTGCCGCTGAAGAGTGCTACTGTGTGTGTTTAACCCTCTGTATAACCTGCCTGCGGTGACAGTGGTATACAGACGATTATTTCAACCATCATAGTGTTATTGCTGATATTGCCGAGTTTCCTCTTTCTCTGTATAAAAAGGAGGTGGTGGCAGTGTGAAGGGTTAATTGCATAATTAACCTGACCCAGTAACAATTGCTTCCAGGCTGCCGGTACACAAACTGTGGTCCATTAGCTGGAAAATCTGTGTGCAGGGCACAGCTGGGCATGGCATTGTTACGCACGTGATAGCGCGATTTTAGATTGGCTAGTCCTTCGGTCACGAGTTTGGTGAGAAGGGCAGGGGTCTGACGCCACAATCGTCACACACAGTTCTATAAATCTGTTTCAGTTCACTAAGAGATGTCATCTCTTCAACAGCAGCTCTATCCACTTTTGTTTCTCATGGGTTGGATGTTTTTGCATCTCATCCCATCAATCTGACTTTGGTTTTAATGCTACGTAAGCAACAAAGGACAGACATTTAACCAGGATGCCTTTATTGCTTCTGGTGGATTTCCTGATTGAAGCCTCTAGTGGCCTAGTTTCTTTTTTTTACAGCATTTGGATTGTTTGTGTTCATTTCTATTTCTGTGTCACTTTGTTGCTTATCTTCATCTGACACTAATGTGGGAATTCCCGCAGTTTGAAGCATTTGTGTTAGTTAATGAACTTTTGAACACACTGAAGTTTCATTGACAATTACATTTCTACTGATGTTACCTTGTTTGTATCTTGGTGTAGAATTCTGTATCCCTTTTAACATTCACTGTACCCCACAAGTACACCTTCCTTTGGGCGAGCACCCATTTTGTACATTTTTCTTTCGGTATGTGCACATAGGCTTTGCGTCCAAAAAATTTTTCGATGGTTCAGATTCAGGACCTTTCCATTCCACAGTTCATATGGAGTTTTTTCAGTAAATTTTCCTGGTTTTGGAGATTTTGGGGATAGCATGCAGTCATGATTGCCTCCTTACAGTATGTGGTTGGCATATACGCATCAAACAGCATAGTTCTTCCACTCTTACACAGAGTACGGTTCACTCTTTCTGCAACCTGGTTTTTGTTCTTGGTTGTATGGTACGGTAGTTTGAAATATTGTGCCATACTTTCTGAGAATTGCCTGTGTGTTATCACCTGTATAATCAGTTTCATTGTCTGTGCACAATACACTCGGCATTTTGCCAAATTTGTTGTTTACTATAGCCAAATACTGGTTAAGTTTATCTGGTACTTTACTTTTGTTGTGTAACAGATACAGTGTAGAATACCTAGAGTAATGTTCTATAAAAGTGAAAAAATTCCTCTTCTTTCCTGGAGTCAATGTTTCCCATTGGATCACAAAGATCTGAATGAATGAAGAGGTTTTCTAGGTCTGCTGTTACTCTGCTTTGGAAAGGCTTTTCTTGTCGTTTTTCCTTCTACACAGCTGGTGCATTTCATTGTTTGATCACATAGACTAATTTTTATTCCACTATGCAAGTCATTTTCAGTTAATTTCTTTAATATATCAGGACTTCTGTGTCCAAGTCATCTGTGCCATGCGTGAATGCAGTATGAATGTTGTTCCTCCTTGGCAGTGTTAATCATCTCATTGCGGTTCCTCTGATATGGTTCGTCTGTGATTTTAGCCTTTGCAAGTAAGGTATCCCTTTTGTGACGGCATAGCTGTCATCTTGGAAGTTCACTACATTGCCTAGTTTTGTGAGCTTCTTCGCTGACAAAAGATTAGCTTCAAGAGCAGGGACGTACAGGACTTTTTTCACAGGTATCTTTCTGGTGACACTCTGGGAAACAGGACAGTAAAGAAAACCATCTCCTATTCCTTCTGATTACATTATTTGCCCAATTAGCTGTGGTGATTTCTTCTGTTTTCCTCTGTCAAGGAGAATAAACACTTTTTTGTCATTTGTCATTTGACTCATAGCTCCTGAATCAACACACCATGCCTGCAAAGATGGGGTCTATTTTTGGATTGATTGATTTATTCATTATCTGAAGAAAAATTTGTTTCTTCCTTCACACTTCTGGCTTTTGTAGTTTACTTTGTTTTAGCATTCTATTCTAAGTTTCCAGATTTTGCAATCTGCTTTTAAATGGCCTTGTTTCTTGCATACAAATTTCATAATTTTCTGGTAAACCCCTAAGTAATAGTGCTGCAACACGAAAGGTGTGCCTTATGTAATCCTGCATTCCTGGCCTTTCATCAGCTTGGTTTGGTATAGCTTTCTAATAAAATACAGTTTATTGCTGAGATTAGCTCTTTCATGCACCTTTTGTAACCCTTCCCACATTTCTTTAGCAGTTTCACACTTAAATATATGTATGACTTGATCATCTTCCATGTTAAAAAGAGATTGTGCTCTGAGCTGTCTGATCTTTCTCTATCCACTCATCTGAAGGATGTTCTGGCCTGACTTAATTTATACATTTCCATGTACTTTCTCTTTTTAGAAGCATTTTCATCTTGAATTTCCAAGAGTGGTGGTTCTGATTTGTCAGATTTGCCAATAAAAGCTTTGCTCCAGCTGTGTTACTGTCTATTTTCTTTTATTCTGTTGCAGTCTTCTTTCTGTTGTTGTATCTTGCACTTACTTGCTATAGTCAACTATGACTGTGTGTGTCAGGAATGGACTGGCCAGCAATAGTGGGACTCACCTGCCTTATGAGCTGCAGTACCAGGGCTGGCCAGCGGGTGCTCCCAGCAATCAGAGACTCAACCTTGCAGCCAGTCAAACACCTGGAACTGATTATACTGGTGTATTTAAGGGATGGCCAGACCTGCAGACTCTGCCTTGGGTGTGTGTTTTTCCTGGGCCCTGTATCCTGTTCCTGTTCCTGTCTTGTCGCTGACCCTGCCTGATCTGACCTCTGCTGACTTCTCCTGCTCTGACCCGGCTCGTTCCTGACCATCCCTCTGCCTGACCCTCTGTACCACTCTGCCCGCTACCTGCTGAACCTGGCTTGTGACCCCGACCATTCTCCGCTTGCTCCCCCTGTACCTACCTGCCCGATTGATATTGACCCAGCCTGCCTGACGACGCTTGCATTGTATATATGTACTGTTATCTGTGGGTGGTTGGTTTGGTTTGTTTGCACTGTGGTTATGTTTTAGTATTGCACTGCGTTTATGTTTGCATTGTTAGTGTTAATAAATTACATTGTTTATAACATATCTGAAGTCTGCGTTTCCCTGCGTCAGTCACACACCTCTGGTCATACCCGGGAGCCCTGACATTACACCAAGGCCAATCCTGACCAGAAGTGGCTGCACAGGGGAAGCCATCTTGGTTTGTTGATGGGAAGGATGGATCTTGATGAGGTTGTGTATTTATCTCTGCTAGTGTTTGATGACAGAGAATATGCTTATCAAACTCTGAAGGAGTATCCCCGGGATGAACTGCTAGAATGTATACGGCTCGCTCATGTTTCTAGTAGATCAGGGCACAGAATTCTCTGAGGTGCAGCCATTGATTCAGATTTGTGCGTAGCTGGTTTCATCTGGTACCAACCCACCCCCGAATGCAGGGATGAATTTTTGCCGCCATTTAGTGCCGACCAGGTAGAGTCCCTGGTATGGTTATTAGAGGGATGATGTGGATTGCTTCTTGGAGCATTATGCTGCATGTTCACCACAGGTACTAAGAGATTGTATAAACGCAGTGCAGTCTTTGGTCAGACAGCTTTGTGTAAGCTCAGCTTTGTTTCAACCCATACTGCAGACATGGACAGATTTTGTTGCACCCAGCCTCAGTCAGCCTACAAAACCCAGTCCTGCTTCTAATCTGTTTCCTCAAAGCTCTATTCCTGCATTTCCTACAGCTCCTCCTGCCCTGCTATCTACCACATGTCAGTACCCTGTTCCCACTCGCTGCACCTATCCTGCCTTTAACCCTGTAAAAAAGCCCTCTGTAGCAACTGTTCCCTCCTCTGTTCCATCCTCCAGCTCTTCTCTGTCTCCAGCTGCCTCCATTCGTTTGCAGACCTGCGTTTACTTGCAGTGCTCCAGTAGTTAAAACCAGAAAAAAGCGAAAATTCTTTCCAACCAATACCATCCTGCCAGTATCCAAACCGGTGAGCCTACTGTCTGAGAACCTGCCTTCCGTGGTTCAGCCTGATGCCTCTCTTCAGCCTGATGCCTCTCTTCAGCCTGAAGCCTGTACCCAGCCTGATGCCTGTACTCAGCCTGATGCCTGTACGCAGCCTGATGCCTGTACTCAGCCTGATGCCTCTATTCAGCCTGATGCCTCTATTCAGCCTGATGCCTCTACTCAGCCTGAAGCCTCTACTCAGCCTGAAGCCTCTACTCAGCCTGAAGCCTCTACTCAGCCTGATGCCTCTACTCAGCCTGAAGCCTCTACTCAGCCTGATGCCTCTACTCAGCCTGATGCCTCTACTCAGCCTGATGAACTGATCCAGCCTGACGATCCTATTAGGCCAGTTGACTCGATGCCCGCTGTTGATCCAGATGATCCGGTACCTGATCCGGTGCCGCTGTCGTGCCAATTGACTCAGAGCCCGCTGTCGTACCTGGTGACTCGGTGCCCACTGCCTTACCAGATGACGCGGTGCCCGCTGGCGAGCCAAATGACCTGATGCCTGGTGACCCAGTGCCCGCTGTCATACCTGGTGACCCGATGCCCGCTGTCGAGCCAGACAATCCGGTACCTGATGACCCGGTGCCCGCTGTCGTGCCAATTGACTCAGAGCCCACTGTCGTGCTGGTGACTTGGTGCCCACTGTCTTGCCAGATGACGCGGTGCCCGCTGTTGAGCCAAGTGACCTGATGCCTGGTGACCCGATGCCCGCTGTCCAGCCAGATGATCCAATGTCTGACCCAGTGCCCGCGGTCATACCAGTTGACTCGGAGCCCACTGCCTTGCCAGATGACGCGGTGCCCCCCGCTGTCGAGCCAAATGACCTGATGCCTGGTGACCCGATGCCTGCTGTCCAGCCAGACGATCCAATGTCTGACCCAGTGCCAGCGGTCATGCCAGTTGACTCGGAGCCCACTGTCGTGCCTGGTGACTCGGTGCCCGCCGCTCCGCCTGGGGGCCCGAGACCTGTCGCTCCGCCTGGGGGTCCGGCGCCCGCCGCTCCGCCTGGGGGTCTGGGGCCCGCCGCTCCGCCTGGGGGCCTGAGACCTGTCGCTCCGCCTGGGGGTCCGGCGCCCGCCGCTCCGCCTGGGGGCCCGAGACCTGTCGCTCCGCCCTGGGGGTCCGGCGCCTGCCGCTCCGCCTGGGGGCCCGAGACCTGTCGCTCCGTCTGGGGGTCCGGCGCACGCCGCTCCGCCTGGGGGCCGAGACCTGTCGCTCCGCCTGGGGGTCCGGCGCCTGCCGCTCCGCCTGGGGGCCCGAGACCTGTCGCTACCGCCTGGGGGTCCGGCGCCCGCTGCCCGCCTGGGGGCCCGATGCCTGTCGCCCCGCCTGGGGTCCTGATGCCTGTCGCCCCGCCTGGGGCCCGGAGGCCCATCGCTCCACCTGGGGCCCGATGCCTGTCGCCCCGCCGGGGGGCCCGGCGCCCCTCCTGGGGGCACGGCGCCCGCCGCTCTGCTTGGGGGCCCGATGCCTGTCGCCCCGCCTGGGGGCCCGATGCCTGTCGCCCCTCCTGGGGGCCCGGCGCCCCGCTCCGCTTGGGGGCCCGATGCCTGTCGCCCCGCCGGGGGGGGCCCGATGCCTGTCGCCCCGCCTGGGGGCCCGATGCCTGTCGCCATGCCTGGGGGCCCGGTGCCTGTCGCCCCGCTCCGGGGGCCCGGTGCCTGCCGCTCCGCCCGGTGCCCGGTGCCTGCCGCTCCGCCCGGTGCCCCGCTGCCTGCTGCTCCGCCCGGTGGCCCGGTGCTGCTGCCGCTCCGGTATGGCCCCGCTGCCTGCTGCTTCGCCCCGGTGGCCCGCTGCCTGCTGCTTTGTCTGGTAATCCGATGTGCCTCTGCCCGGAGTCCAGCCCGATGTGCCTCTGCCCGGAGTCCAGCCCGATGTGCCTCTGCCCGGAGTCCAGCCCGATGTGCCTCTGCCCGGAGTCCAGCCCGATGTGCCTCTGCCCGGAGTCCAGCCCGATGTGCCTCTGCCGGAGTCCAGCCCGATGTGCCTCTGCCCGGAGTCCAGCCCGATGTGCCTTTGCCCGATGTGCCTCTGCCCGATGTGCCTCTGCCCGGTGTGCTCTGCCCGATGTGCCTCTGCCCGATGTGCCTCTGCCCGGTGTGCCTCTGCCCGGTGTGCCCCTGCCCGGTGTGCCGCTGCCCGGGAAGTCCTGCCCCGTGTGCCGCTGCCCGGAGTCCTTCCCGGTGTGCCAGTCTTTGATATCCCGCCAGTTACCAGACCGGGCGGTGGGAACATTTTGCCCAGCTAGGACTGTTTGGAGCGTCCTGAGGCCGCTCTTTGAGGGGGGGGTACTGTCAGGAATGGACTGGCCAGCAATAGTGGGGACTCACCTGCCTTATGAGCTGCAGTACCAGGGCTGGCCAGCGGGTGCTCCCAGCAATCAGAGACTCAACCTTGCAGCCAGTCAAACACCTGCAACTGATTATACTGGTGTATTTAAGGGATGGCCAGACCTGCAGACTCTGCCTTGGTGTGTGTTTTTCCTGGGCCCTGTATCCTGTTCCTGTTCCTGTCTTGTCGCTGACCCTGCCTGATCTGACCTCTGCTGACTTCTTCCTGCTCTGACCCCGGCTCGTTCCTGACCATCCCTCTGCCTGACCCTCTGTACCACTCTGCCCGCTACCTGCTGAACCTGGCTTGTGACCCCGACCATTCTCCGCTTGCTCCCCCTGTACCTACCTGCCCGATTGATATTGACCCGGCCTGCCTGACGACGCTTGCATTGTGTGTACTGTTATCTGTGGGTGGTTGGTTTGGTTTGTTTGCACTGTGTTATGTTTTAGTATTGCACTGCGTTTATGTTTGCATTGTTAGTGTTAATAAATTACATTGTTTATAACATATCTGAAGTCTGCGTTTCCCTGCGTCAGTCACACACCTCTGGTCATACCCGGGAGCCCTGACACTGTGCCTGGGCCCATAAACTGTTAGAAATTCTGTATATGGCTCTACAGAACACAGTGTACAATCCACATGTGCTTTCCTGCTTCACTGCGAGAAGGAACAGGAAACCTTATTCAGAGAAAAGACAGTGGTGGTTATTTACTGAAACTGGAGAGTGCAAAATCTGAAACCAATCAGCTTCCAGGTTTTATTGTCAAAGCTGAACTGAAAAAGCTGAAGTTAGACACTGTCTGGCCATGCCTAGCTGCAACAGATTCTGAATGCTTCAGTTTTAGTAAATCTACCCCATAGAGTTTTACTATAGATGCATATACAGTAGCAATACTACTACTGGCCAAAGAATATATCCCTACTGTATACTGACATAATTGTTGCACAAAAACACATGAACACTGTATTCCAATAGTGGTCAGGAGTTTGTAATGCAATGATTAGAATTTTGTAACATACCATGTACATTATATATCTCAACAGCCATACTCTGTGTGCAAATACGTTTTGATTTTATTTCAGCCATAGCAACACATTGTGATTGTGGGACAAATAAGAACTAACTGAATCTGTTGCACATGCCAGAATTGTTAATGGAGTTGTTTCACAGCTTTCCTGAATTAGATGCAGGACTTTCTAATGTGTCTATACTGCCAAAACAAAAGTATCATAGATGCTTCATTGAATTGCTACTATTATTTTGTGTTCATCTCACTGCACATTTGCATTCTTTCAGAATCTTTACACATAACTATATATTATACTTTTATTTGGAAGTAGTTGATCTTCACTAGAGCTGTAAGACTTTCACAATTATTTATTTTGTTTATTTTCTGTAGAATTAAAGCTGTTCCTCACTCTGTAAACAAAAATGTAAAAGTCAGCAGTTACAAATACTGTGGCTGCTGACTTTTAAAAAACACACACTTACCTGTCCCAGGATCCAGCACTGTCCTCAGCGAACCCATCTCTTCACCAGTCTGCAGGTCCCTGGTGCTGGAATCTTAACTGTGGACAGCTGGCTTTGAGTACTTGTGGCTTCACAGCCAACTGCCCACTGCGCATGTGCAAGCCACACTGTGCCCTGTGAATGGTTCTGCAGTCTCTTGGGACCTGTGATGTGTCCCAAGAGGCTGCGGGGAGAGGAAGAGATGAGCCTGGGGGGGGGGGGGGGAGTGAAGTTCCACTTTAACTACTTTGTTAGTACATTTTTAAACCTTGTTTTCAGTATGGTGAAAGCCCATATGAGTTGCTGTTGGTCTGCAGGACTGATTTATTCAAACTTGGGCATCTTGTGGTTTGAGTTGCAGCATGTTTAATTTCAGTGTATTGATTTTCTGAGTAGATTGGTACCACTATAATAATAGGGTTGGCAACAATGGGGTAATGACCACGTGTTTCCAATTGTAATTAGCTTTTGGGAGTTTTCTGATTTTATGGCATATAGCTGTATATTAGTCTGCGATTTTTATTGCCCTGAAGAAGGAGCGATATTTACTCCAAAGCACTTCAAGTTCCATTAAAAGTTATTGTTGTTTTAATCTAATTGGTGTTTCCAACTACGATCTTCTAGACATGGCAGAGAAAATCTATAATTCCCAACTTACAAAATAGGTAAAAAAATATAAACAAATGAAAAAAATTAAAATATAGGGTATGTTGATATCTCAGAGATCATTACAAAATAGCAAACTCATTCAATACCTTTTTTTATACAATCTTATAGGCAGGTGTTGGGGTGCAGTTTCTCCACCAACCTAAAGCTGACAATGGGCTGCTTCTTCAGGCTTGCAAAAAACCACTGGGGACTGATTTGTCCCCTTTTATGGGCTCCAAGTAGGCCAGAAATCCAGCTAATTCTAATTGGCAAAACTCCAGCAATCTCTGATAATGTCAATATAAATGTACAAAGCAAAGTGGGGCAAAAAAAAGTTTACCATCTGCAAAAAGTTTAGGAGCCTGTAGGTAAAATGAATATCTCCTAAACACGTACTGTTTAGGAGATATTCCAGTAATCAGCAGCCGGAGACCTCACCAGCGCATGTACTCTGAAGGAACGGCATACCCGTTCCTTCAGAACTCTGTGCCATGCTGTGCCTAGCACATTATAATATTACCTTGCATGGGGAAAATGTTTTTTTTTTCTTTTTTTTTGAAGCGTTAATACTACTTTAACTGAATCCTTAGCCTCTATCAGTTATGAGGTAGTGGCTCAAGGACTCTAGCAGTCTTCACTAAGAAGCAACCCTCTTTTGAGGCACCCTGATATAGGCAATGCAGACACCTTGGAAAAGTTACCAGGAATTTTGGCCAAGGGAGGTCAGCACCTTATTTCTGCCTGCCTTTACACTAAAAGTGCCCTTGGCAGAGAGGTGATCTACAGGAAACAGTTACACTGAACAGTCAATCTCAAACTGCTTTATAGACACCGGGTTTGAGGTTACTATGATAAATTATGCCTTTTATAAGAGGCATTATGAACAGTACTCAACTCTGGATGCTTTGTAGCTTAACTTGAAAGATGCCAATAATCTGCCCATCCGGGTTTGAGGGGAAGGGTTATCTGTAAAACTGCACATGCATTTTATCAAAGTTTTGAGTGTATTGGGGTCATGGTGACTCAAGGTTCCATCTCTCAAGAAGTCCCAGTGGTATTAGGCATGAATATGCTGGGGTAACTAGATATTTCCCATCTACGTAAGGAAGCTCCCACTCAAACTAAGAAATCCTCTGTGAACTGGATCAGCTACAAAAACATTTTAACAAGTGTCGTTTCCACCAAACACAGAATAATAAAGAAACCAAAAGGGCAGGGGTGGTACATACTTCACCCACCATGGGATGACCATACTCCTCTAGCAAGAAACTTTGTGCTTACTTCCACTGGGCATTAGAAAGAAAATAAGAGAGAATGCCTTCATGGTACAGCCCAAGTTCAAGCTTGAAATAAAAGGTGAGTGGGTAGTGGTTCAATCTTTGTCTGTAGTTCACTGAGTTGTAGTTAAAGTTGCTAACTTGGGTAACTTCTTTGTTCAGCTACTTTCTCAACAGGCTATTACAAATCTGTATTTATTACCAAAAAATTGTATTGCCACTGCCTGTCCTGACATAGAGGCCACATGTGCCTCCCTACAGATCTCCAGTCAAGACTTGA